GATTGAAAGCATGCACTAGTTGAGTTTCTTGGTGGCTATGACGTTATATCGGTCAGAATACAAAATATCGGTCAGGACCGATATTCGATATATCGGTGATATATCGGTCCAAAATAGCGGTTAACATAATATTTCTTAGAATTATATATATAATATGCATTAGTTAGAGTTTAGAAATATAGTTTCAAAATTAAAACATCACATCATCTAAAGTGTTCAAAAACGAGCTAATCGCAAGCAATAGGTTCGGCATCCGAGTCAACATCATCCAATACATTCACTTGATTCGTGAGAAGTCTGAAGTTGTAAGAAGTCTGAAGTCGTGATTCGTGAAGTGAACTAGGTGTCTGTGAAGTGTGAAGTCGTAAAGATGAAAAGAAAGGAAGAAGACCGTTGGAAGGCAGACTATTAATTTCTGACCTAATAATATATGTTACCAAGCCCAAAAAAACTAAGCCCATGAAATAACAAAAGCCCAAATAATTGAACCCTAAAAAATCGATATATCGGTCCGATATATACATCAAAATATCGCTAAATATCGGGAAAAATCGGAAAATATCGCCGATAATATCGGGGACGATCTTTTGACCGATATTTTGCCTAGGTCCGATATCCGATATATCGACGATATATCGCAATATTAACAGCATAGCTTAGTGGTTTACTGCAGACTCTATCCTCGGTAGGACGCACTTTAATACTGCCAATAGTCCACCTTGAGTCTGAGTCCTAAGATTAGCAGAAAGTAGGAGATATCTTAGTGGTACAATTGAAGTTTCTCATGAGTTTAAAAATTGACATTATGTTATACGTAAGGTTAAAGACAAAGAACTGAATGGAGAGTAATGTCTATAAGATAGTAACTGAACCTATACCCTTTACATTAAATAGTAACCCATTAGCGGGCCAAACTCTGGCGTGTCTGTGGCTATACCCTTCAAGTGTCATGTGGTATTTGGCTCTCAAGTCCACAATCCACTCTTCTGTACTCAACTTTGCATTTGGGGCAGTCGGCACATGATCACTTTGAGCCACCACAATGCTGATTGGATAGTGACTTGAAGTATACTTTGGAAGATTCCATTTGCTCTTGATTAAAACGGGCACTTTATATTGTTGCATCAATCTCTGGATGGATGGTTGCCTCCTTGGACGTTTCCCATATATATTCTAGCATATCTTCTTTATGTGACCACGAATGTAGGGATCTCGCAGTGGTCACACCAAGGACAGTTATCTAATCATTCACCAATGTTGACCATATCTAGATGAATCGCTGCTACAGAAGCTTCCTTGTGGTTATCTAGGATTGTTGCCTTTTCTAGCCATCAACGCAGAGCTTTGGTGGTTGGTTGGGTGTTTGCAGATCCCAACATAACTTCTCTTTTGAGTTTCTTCTCGATAGACCTACGACAAGGCTTCTCTTTCACCCATAGTTTTAAAAAACGTGGGAGGCGCACGCCTGAGACGTGCCTAAAGACCAGGCATCCAAAAAAGCATCTGCGGTAGGGCCTCTAAAAGGTTTACTGTTTCGTACGCCTTGGGTGTTAGAGGCGTGGCAAAGGCGGTGAAGCAGTGGTTGGTATTGAGGCAGTCGCCTCTTTAGCCAAGTGGTTCCTTCCATGTCAAATGCTTTTTTTCCTCTCTCACACAAGCATAAACATTATTATATTATTTTTCCAGTTAGTGCTTTCCACTAAGTGCAGGAATCCATTAATGCTACAAATAGTTTCTGAGATAAGGACTGCAATTAGAACTTGTACATGCTGCATTCGAACTTGTAACATGTGTATGTGTGAGTATGATATATATATATATATATATATATATATATATATATATTTCTGAGGAGATTAGTTTATTTATATTAATATATATTGTTAGTATAATTTATTTAGAGGTTGGTTATTATACAACCTTTGACATTTGTGCAACCAATACAACCCAATCTCAACCGTCCATTTCATTTGATTAATATGTGATTTCATAGAAGTTTTTATTGTTTCCTAATATAAAGTATTGATCATAATTAATGAACCATATTCATCTTCCATAAATATTCAAATCATAATAAATAAACTCTCATTATTTCCATAAATATCTCAATTTATTGGGTTGCATTGGTTGTACAAATGCGACGGGTTGTATTTGAAACAAACTCAATTTATTTATATGTTAGTTTATATATATATATATATATATATATATATATATATATATATATAGGAGCGATCAAATACAAACCACTCCCTTTTGTACAAACTATACAAACTGTACAAACTAGCATCAACCAATAGCATTATTCCATTTAATTTCCTTTATTTTTAATTCATAAGGGTATGGATTGTCCTTTGACTTTATAATAGATAATTTTAGTAATATTTTAATTGTGTCTAAATCGGGAAGGTTATATAGATTAGAGGGTTTTTAGGAAATGATCAATAAATTTGTTTTTATAATAATCTTGAAACCGGTAAACTTTAATAGATACTAACATCAATGAAACAGGGTAATCTCCAATGAAATAGGCCCAAACTATTTAATGAAACAGAGTTATATATGATTGCATCAGGTTCATATGTATAACAACTATAATGAAACAAGTTTATATTCATAAGTATGTATGACAGTTTGTAATGAAACAGGTTCATATGTATAACAGCTGTAATGAAACAGGTTCATAGGTCATATATGTATAACAAATGTAATGAAACAGGTTCATAGAACATGTTTTTCCCTTCCGTGTCTCCAATAGGAATTCTTTTTTTTTTTTTTTTTACTTCACTTATTTAGTTTGTCTCAATCTTGGCCTTTCATCAAATAAATGAATGTAAGGTTTGTATGAGATAGATGGTTTGCAAAGTAAACCTCCTATATATATTACCTAGTGCATTTGGACTTGTAATAGATGATATACATATGTGTGTGTGTGTCTATGTATATAAATATACAGTATATATTTTCTTTATTTAATAAACACTAAGCACATTATTTTGTGAGTTGAGTATAATGTGTAAAAGTGTGTATATGTATTTAGTAGTATATATATATATATATATATATATATATATATATATATATATATTGTATTGTACTATATATATTTAGTATAAATATTGTGTGTGTATATATATATATATATCTGCCTTGGGGCTTATGTCTCGGACCGCCTCAAGGCTTACGTCTCGCCTCGCCTAGCCTAAACGAAAACGCCTCGAGGCTCGATTCCGTTTTTTAAAACCTTGCTTGCACCCGACGGTGGCTTACGACTCGGTATTCTTCCTCGAATCTCATCCAGGTTTTGGTTTAACCCAAGAAAGAACTTGTAGATTCGTTCTTTATCTTGGATCTCTGTGTATTGTTTTTGGTCAAGGGCATAACTCCACAATACGTCATCGACGAAGTCTAATTGTTGCCAATAGTGAATCTGCAGGTTGAAGTGTTTTGTGACGGTTCGTTCTTCTAGCATAGACCATACGGTACTTCTTTGATTTCAAAGATTGCTAAAGGCGTTATCTTTGTTGGAGTATGTCTCGGGCTACTTCCTGTATCTCCTTGGCTATCTTGTAGTGCATGAAATTCTCACCAGTTCCATTCATCCTTGAGATCAAGAGCAATGACATTGCCATGTTGTTCTCTGTCTTCCGTGTTTGATAGTTCAAACTATCTTCTGTTGGTGTTGGGGCTTCTGGTGGTCTTCTTTCGCTTTACTGCTTACGAAGATCATCACAGAGTGCGACCATTGATTGGAATTGTGGCCGGTGATTGGGATAATCCTGCCTTCCATTAGAATGGGTTTTGTGTTAGACATCGGAGATTGTCTCTTAGTTGTGCCGTAAGAGTCGCTTTGAGTTTCACTCAACATGGTTTTCTTAGTGTATTTAGTCGTTGATCGCGGATGACTTGAGGACGAAGAGTCGGATCCAGACAGCTTTGATCACATATAGAAATTATGAACAAGGGAAAGTAGTTTCTCACTTTATTTTCATTCATCAAAGCATAAAGGGGCAACTGTATACAAGAGTAGAACTACCGGTCCTTTATTCTAGGAAATTGTAAACAACTTTATCCTACTAACAAAGGGATAAGATTTTCCACATAACGTAATGGTAATTTTTTGGTGTTCTTGACCTTGTTTGAAATGCTATGTAGGGGCGAGGCTTGGAGCCGCTTGTAAAGTGATCCATTTGTCACACTAAGTCGTGGGTTTAGTCATGGAAACATGCTTTTCAGAAAAAGTGTGGCAAATGCTTTTATGAAGATTTCCCTCGCTAAGCCCATGCAAAGCTGATGAGTTTGGTACACTAGGGTCATCTGTTGGGAAATGAGGACGACAGGACCTCAGGCATGGACAAGCGCAGGGAGGGACAAGCCTTGACCAAACGCAGAGAAAAGAAACTCAACCAAAGACGGTGTGGTAGCAGCCCCCGTACAAAGTGGCAAGCAATCAGAACAGCAAGAGACAAATACAATACAAACTGAAAAAAGATCTAAGAGCAGTCACCTGTTGTAGACTGCTCTTTGTACTTCTAGGCCTGATCTCTAGTTTTGGGTTTTGATATTCTTGATATTGGGAGTTTGAGTTGTAACTTAACCTGATATCGTATGATTTTCTTCTTACTAAGCGTCCAAGTTTTTTTTTCCCCGAGTAAAACTGGATGTTGGGAATTTTAGTTATCGTTGAAGCTGTCTACCAGATTTTGTTAGTTCTAATAGAACAATGATTTGTCACAGTAACAGCCTCTCTTAGAGGCAAGGTTTGCGTACATCCTACCCCCAGATCCTAACTCCAGATCCTAACTCTGTGTGGGATATGCTTGGTTCTTTTAGGTTTAATTGAACTTGATTCACATATTTTTATTTTCATTTTTTTACATGATACCATATTTTCGTGCGGTAGTTGTGAATGTGTACAGGTAATAATTGTGTGACTATTGCACTTGTCATGTAGGGACATGTCTTGCGTAATAATTGTTTGCTTGTATTCATCTTTGCAGGGAGGTCCAACATAGAAATGTCGTTCGTTTTATTGGTGCTTGCACAAAACAACCTCACCTGTGCATAATAACAGGTAGCGAACTTCTAGAAGTTGCTGATTATTTATTTGTAGGTAGTTGCAACCAAACATTTCTGTTTTAGCTGCACACAGTTTGGTCTTCAATATTTCAATCTGGATTATATTATTAGATATGGGAGAACTATAGATCTTCATGTCTCATGCTTCCTATGGTCTTTCCGATGTTTGTATACTGCTTTTGGTGATATATGTTCTCAGATAATTTGGCTGTTGTTCAGTGTCCCTATGAGTATGTTTTGGTATTTATTAGCTTCATGGATCTAGTACGAAGCATTGTTAAGGGTGGCAGTAAAGACCATACATTTCCAGTTTAAGTAGGTGGAGTATGCTAATTTATAGATTAATGCGGGGCTCAGGTGTAACCAGAGAGAACCTGTTGAATTCAGTTAACTGCTGAAAGTTTTCATCTCTGATAAAGAGAAGTAAAAAAGAAAGATGATGTAATTTTGATAATTATTATGAGCTGGAATTTTATTTATGAAAATGAGAGAAAAAGAAAGATATATGCTCTTTACTGCCAGCCTTTCGAAAAAGCCTGGGCTCAGGCCAGTCCAAAGAGCCCGATCAGGCAAAGTATTTTTTTCCAAGGCCTGGCTAAAGCCCAGCTAGAAACAGCCCAATTGGGCCCATTTCACGCCCGAGGTCTGGGTCTTTGAGGGCCTGGACTTTTCTTGCTTACAAGAAATTTATTTGGTGTAGGTTGTATTTGTTCCTGGAAAATTTTGCAGTGCACCAATATCTGGTAAACAGACTGAGCAGTAGTTCATTGATCTGACTGATCAATTAATAAGTGGTGAATCAATCGTCTACACATGGATGGAGGCCCCTGGCATTTATATTTCTTTTTATAGCTGTTAGTCATTAATCTTGCTCTTTGACAAATGCAAATTGTTTTTATATGATTTTAATTTGTCCCATATTGCTCTATCTTCAAGTTATAGAGGTCTGTCTCATTTTCTCCATTTAGCAAAAATATACATGGTCGTCTCATCACTTTGTGAGGACATTGCGGCTTCTGTTTCTGCTTGCAGAATACATGCCTGGAGGCAGCCTATATGAATATTTGCATAAGAACCATCGCACCTTGACGCTTCCCCAGTTGGTGCAGTTTGCGATAGATGTTTGTAGAGGAATGGAGTACTTGCATAAGAGCAATATCATTCATAGGGATCTGAAGACTGCAAACTTGCTTATGGACAGTCATAATGTAAGTATTCTGTTTCTATTTACATTTCAAAGCATAGAAGTTCAAAACTAGTCAACAATTATGTGCAAGGATCAAAGGTGACAGAACTTGCTTTAACAAAGATGAATGCTGCTTTTAGTTTTCGTCAGTTCTCATGTGTTGATTTATACATTATCAAAATGGTTACTATGTTCAAGGTTTTGAAGTATGGAAAGGCAAGGGGAGGCGAGGTGTAAGCCCCGAGGCGGTTAACAAATAAATGCGAAAATAATTCATATAATGCAAAATAATAACCCAATATCAAACTATTGAAGTAGTAAAATTACTACAAAAAATAACTCAAAGAATGTTGTGTATATGAAAAAAAAGGACAGATTATACTTATAGACATACACAATAAATAGTCGTAGATTATAATCATATACATACACAAAAAGAAATTGAAACATAACTACAGTAGGCAGAAATATAATATATATTTATATATATATACACATTATTAGTGGGCTAATCATTTGAGAAACCAAAAAGTTGTGATAACCCTGAGAACGAGTGCATCATGTGCTATTCCATATGATTTTTCCCATCTAATGCTAGGATTTAATGTATCTATTAACAAACATTTGTTTCACAATGTGTTTGTTTCACATATTTTGTTCTCAATGTGAAACTTTTTGGCGTAAAGAAAAATACACATAAAAAAAGTTTCATATTGTGAACTGAATACATATATGCAGCAAACGTATTGTGAAATAAGTATATGTTAATCAATATGTTAAATACTAGCCCTAGATGGGAAAAATCGTGTGAAAAATACCTTAAGGTAAAAGTTGTCATAGTTATCACAATATATGGGGTTCTCATTTATTTATGCCCTGTATTAAGATATATATATATATATATATATATATATATAATATACATAATACACACTACAAATATAAGTCGAAACGTAACACATACTAATGCAAACATGAATACAGAAGGTTTAAGCATGAATACAACAGATTTAAAGAAAAAAAGACAAAAAGAAGCAGGTTCAGAGAAAAAAGACAAAAAGAAATACACCACCAACCTAACTTTGAGAATATATATAATAAACAACCAGGTTCAATGAAAATATATAAAAAAAAATATACCACCAACACCAACTTCGAAAATATAATCATTAACAACCAGTTTCAAAGAAAAGAAATACAAAAAATAAGGAGCTATTTGGTTCAGGTAGAGGAATGAAAATGAATATGAATGTTCCCGCTAGTTCAACTCGGAATGATTGGGTTTATGGGGAATGATCCCATTATATTATATGAAACCGAATAGTTTCTTTGATTTTCAATCCTGTTAATTACTGCTTAAAGCCTCTAACCAAACACCCCCTAAAATATGCATACCTGTTCATGTTGGAATGCAGCCAGGTACAACTTTTAATTTGAACATCTATACATATAGAAAAAGTGATAAAAAATAAAATATGCCACGAGACGCACGCCTTTGACAATTTTGACCCTCTCAGTAATTAGTGATGGCAACGGGCAATCAGCGATTCAGGGGATTGCAATCCCCATTTCTGATCCTCACTCCCCATCCTCGTCCCATCCTCATCACAGAATCTGGGATTTTCTCTATTTAACAAAATTTAATTTTTTCTATAGTATCTTCATAAATGCCAATTTCATGTTTAAACAGACTATTCTAAAACTTCAATCAACCAAATTTTGATTTGTACACGAGTAGTTCAAAAATAATATATCAATTAGTATACTTGATGGAAATTTTTTATACATTCATGTTATATCATCAAAAGTTCCTCCACGAACAATCAAATCAATACTGTAATATCTTTTGCAAGTTTTCTCATCATTGAAGATTGAATATACTTATTATATCTATGTGTTATATATGGATTCCTTATCAGTGATATTAGAGTGAACCGTGGTCGTTTTGTGTGGGGGCATAGACCCTATTGGTGATCCTTTGTGATGCAGATGTTTTCACCCTCTTGGCATTCTCATCCACTTGATTTACCTTTTGTGTCATCTCCACAAGGCCAACACCCATCATTTTGTGCATAGTGACGTTCCGCTTTACATGATTGTCAAATGTCAAAATGGCTTAAAATATTGCTCGTTCTTTTGTTGAGTTTTTCATAAAGAGTGAAGCAGATAAACCAAAGTTTAAAAGGGTTGAAGTTTTTGAGGCTGAAGGTGGATTTTGACCATCACTTTTTTGTGTACATCTGGTCATAAATATAAATATATTTATGACGCAAAAGAAGAGTAGGAAATTTTCTATCATCTCTCTCACTTGGAGTTCTTATATTATATCAAAGTAGTAGTCTTCTTTATCCATAGACAGGGAGGGCTCTTGCATTAACCTCTCACATGTTTCTGACTTAATTTGTTAATCTTTAATTTAGGTTGTAAAGGTGGCTGATTTTGGGTTAGCTCGCTTTCAGAATCAAGAGGGAGTTATGACAGCAGAGACAGGAACATATAGATGGATGGCTCCCGAGGTTTGGTTTTCTTGCTCTTGTCATTTTCTGAGCTCTTTTGAGTAGGCTCGGGGATGAAATCGTCTCTGGATTATCCCATCTTGTCAAAGTCCCCTGGATGTGCCTTGTGATAACTTGGTTTGAGACTCATCTTTTGTGAGCAAACTTACGCCTCATTTTCTTCATTTGTTCTCACAATAAACATGGACCCCTAGGGGGAAGAATATGGACATGCTATGGAAGTGTTATTCATCATGGTCCATGGATCACATATTATGAATATTCATGATGACTATGGAAGTGTTATTCATCATAGATCACATATTCATGATGAATAAGGACATGCTATCGACGTGTTATTCATCATGAATCGTGCATTCATGATGAATAACACGTCCATATTCGTGATGAATATGCCAAGTGTCGCTCTGTGGATGGTTCCCAGGTTCTTAATCATATTTAGGTTCCTAATGGAACTTAACCCTGGACCCCTATAATGAGCATATAGCATTATCATTCTTTTGACCTTGTGGCTGGTGAATGGGATGGGGCTACCTTTTGTCTGATGACTCCTTTTCTGTCTTGTGGTGTTTATAGGTTATAAATCATCAACCATATGATCAGAAAGCCGATGTTTTCAGTTTCGCGATTGTTCTGTGGGAGCTTGTGACAGCCAAGGTAATTTGGATCCTTAATGGTGTTATTTAAAAGTATATTTTATATGATTGACTGATATCTATTTCTGTTGTAGATTCCTTATGATAACATGACACCGTTGCAAGCAGCCTTGGGAGTAAGACAGGTCAGTACCTATGTTTATCTAGTGAGATAATTTACAGATCTGGATGCAGCATCTAATGACTTCTGCAAACTAAGATTTTTACCTAAGAAAATAAAACTCGATAAGCATGCAGTAATTTGAAAACATGTTGAGAGAGATCACGGCAACTTATTTCCGTAAGTAGATTTCTTTCGGTATGAATTATGAAAGGCGCATCTGCTAAACTTTGAGGGGTGCTCCGGAATATTAGAAAATACAAGGAACATCAACCAGTAAACCCAAAAAGGTCCCTCGAAATCAACCAAAAAACTTTAAAAATCCATCAAAACTGTGGAATTTGGCTAAAAACACATCGGACGACTTTGTGGGCAGTTGATCCACCTTAAAAGATGCACCCACCCGGCAAAAATCTTGGATCCGCCACTGGAGAGAGACAATGTGAAAGGTTACGTAGGATTTGCTCTCTATAAGAATCGAGGATTCCAGGTTTGAATTTCAGAAAGTACTAGTTTAACATTGAAAGGGATGTGGGTACAAGAAGAAGCATAGTGAAGACTGTAGAAAGAATAATTAATAACTTGGACTTTGTTGAACATAATTTGAAGGACAAGTGAGAAATATTTTTCAATCTGTGTTCAGGGGCGTCGGCCAGATCTTCCCACAAATACACACCCAAAGCTGTTGGAGTTTAATAGAGTTTAACTAAATGCCCGTCTTTCCCCCTCTCTTGTATTGCAATATATAAACATGGATGTTACAAAATAGTCCCTTGGACTATACAAAGAATACCAACTAACTACCTGGAACTATACAAAGAATACCTTCTAGTCTAATACACCCCCTCAGTCTAAGATGGAGGTTTCCGCAAGCTTAGACTGGATCGAAAATCGGTAAAGAGAACGCGAGGCAGCCCTTTGGTGAAGATGTCTGAAAAATTAAGGCGAGACGGGATATGAAGGACCCGTACCTGTCCGCGTTGGACCTGTTCGCGAACGAAGTGTATGTCAATCTCCACATGTTTGGTACGTTGATGTTGAACGGGGTTACCCGATAGATAGATGGCACTCACGTTGTCCGTGTAGACCAACGATGTGCGACGGGGCGGGTGYCCCAGTTCCAAGRGAAGGTTTCGCAACCAACAGATCTCACCCACAACGTTTGCGATCCCACGATATTCCGCCTCGGCACTGGAGCGAGACACAACGGTCTGTCGTTTTGAGGACCATGACAGTAAGTTATCACCAAAGAATACACAATAGCCAGAGGTAGAACGTCGGGTGTCAGGACAGCCGGCCCAATCAGCATCGGTGTAAGCAACCAAAGAAAACTGCCGAGAAGGTTGCATCAGAAGCCCGATATCTATCGTACCCTTTACGTACCGGAGGATACGTTTCAATGCAAGGAAGTGAGGCATCCGGGGGGCATGCATATACATGCAGACTTGTTGGACAGCATACGAGATATCCGGACGCGTGAAAGTAAGATACTGGAGAGCACCCGCCAGGCTACGGTAAGGCGTAGGATCATCAAGTAAGTCACCAGACTCGGCACTGAGCTTGCCGGCGGTATCAACAGGTGTCTGAACAGGGTTACAATTATCCATTTCAGCCCGATGGAGAATATCTTGAGCATACCGGGATTGTGATAAGAACAGGCCATCCGCAGTTCTGGTGACGGCTATGCCTAAAAAATAAGAGAGAGGCCCGAGGTCCTTCATCGCAAATTCCGAAGACAGATGACTCATAAAGTGGTGTTTCAGTTTCGGAGACGAGGTAACCATGATAATGTCATCAACGTACAAAAGGATATAGGCCGTGTCGATACCGCGTCGATAAATAAAGAGTGAATGATCACACGAACTGGGCCGAAAACCAAGAGGGGTCACATAGTCGGTGAAGCGTTGGTACCACGCCCGGGGTGCCTGTTTAAGACCGTACAATGATTTTTTCAAGCAACAAACATGATCCGGGAAGTTTTTGTCACGGAAACCTGGGGGTTGGTTCATAAAAACTGTCTCGTGTAAGTGGCCATGTAGAAACGCATTTTTAACATCCAATTGTGTGATGTCCCAGTTATAGGACAACGCAAGAGACAAAACCGTGCGAATGGTTGCCGGTTTAACTACCGGACTAAACGTTTCCGAACAATCCACACCAATTTGTTGTGACCGACCATCCCCAACGAGTCTAGCCTTATACCGTTCCAAAGACCCATCCGATTTCAATTTGTGTTTGAATATCCACATGGAGCGAATCACATTCATGTGTGACTGACGAGGCACGAGATCCCAAGTCTTATTATTGATAAGGGCAGAAAATTCATCTTGCATAGCATGATTCCAAGAAGGGCTAGAAAGGGCGTCGGCGATGTTTTTCGGAAGGGGTTCGATGGTAGATGAGGCATGTAGGTTAAACGGTATACGTGGTTTAGCATGCCCGGTCATGCTCCGGGTTTGCATGCGACGGGGTGGTGGTGGTGGGGGTGG